CACCAAAAGTCATATCCAAGCTATTTGGATTTTTGGCACGCATGATATCTCTCATACTATGGTCTAAAGCTTCAAAGCAAAACTTATGCATCATCGGTGCCTCATCCCAAATGATCAACTTACATTGCATTAACAATTTTGCCAAAGGACTGCTTTGGCTGATGTTGCATGTTGAATCTTCATTAACAGCAATTGGTATTGAAAATCTAGAATGCGCAGTTCTACCTCCTGGTAATAGAAGCGATGTTATACCACTTGATGCCACATTTAAAATTATATCACCCTTTGACCTTAAAGCAGACGACAATGCTCTCCATAAGAATGTTTTTCCAGTTCCACCGTATCTATAAACAAAAAACAGCCCTCCAAGATCATTCTCAGCATCTTGCAATGTTAGACTAAAATATCACATGCATCATATAATATGTGATTATAGGATCAACTAACCTCCGGCCATAGTTTCTTGTTACGGTTGAGCGATCCGGACTGCTGCAGAGATAACGAGTATTTTGTCTCTTACTTTACTCAGCTCTCTCTAGATGGTGTATGAGGTATGTAGTGTGAGCAGTGAAAGGACTAGTGACCTTATATAACCACTGGCCATCATTGTGGTTGATTGTCTTTAGGTCTCCTAAACCCTAACCAGACTCCTAATCATAATGGTAGTCTAGTTATTAGGTTATTAGTGTTGCACCACATATCAAATACTGAATATTATCATAACTTATCCTAATGTTATAATAATAGTAACGGATAAACGTTACATTCTCCCACTTGGTGCAAGCACTACCACTCAATAACAGAAATACACCAACCATAATGATATGTTCTCATTAGCATGAGTAGTATCCATTATGATCAAATGCAAACTGCCATTGAGCACTTAATTAGGAAACAAAACCCAACGAAATAAACCTTATGTTTATTCCAAGTCCCTGAAGTACATTTTCTCATCAATATAAAGTAAATGAAGGTGTACACACTTAATTGAGAAAACGTCTGAATGCCAAAGAATTTTATTAAAACTGAATGTATATATACAAATTACAAATTGGGCGATAGTCCCATTTTCTGAATCAGATCCTTGAACTTAAATGGTGGCATGCCTTTAGTCAAGGGATCTGCTAACATCAACTCAGTATGAATGTGTTCAATAAATACAACTTTATTTTTGACACACTCCCTAATTGCTAAGAACTTGATGTCGATGTGCTTAGTTCGACTTCCACTTTTGTCGTTCTTAGCTAGGAAGACTGCAGCTGAGTTGTCACAGTAGACTTTCAACGGCTTAGATATAGAATTCATAACTCTAAGCCCAGAGATAAAATTCTTTAGCCAAACACCCTGTGAAGTAGCCTCGAAACAGGAAACGAACTCGGCTTCCATGGTAGAAGTAGCTATTAAGGACTGTTTAACACTTCTCCATGAGATAGCCCCACCGGCTATAATGAAGACGCACCCAGAAGTTGATTTTCAAGAATCAACACAGCCAGCGAAGTCCGCGTCTGAATAACTGACAAGATCTAAATTGTCCGTCTGCCTAAACCCAAGCTTGTAACCTTTGGTTCCTTTGAGATACCTTAGAACCTTCTTTACAGTTCTCCAATGGTCTAACCCCGGATTGTGCTGGTAACGCCCTAGCATTCCAACCGCAAAAGCAATATCCGGCCTCGTACAGACTTGAATATATCCAAGACATCCAACTGCTACAGCATAAGGGATGTTCTCCATGGATTCCTTCTCCAAATCATTTTTCGGACATTGGTCCAAACTGAATCTATCCCCATTAGCTATGGGAGCAGCGTTCGGTGAACAATTTTGCATATGAAATCTCTCCAAAACTTTGATTATATAGGTTTCTTGAGATAAACCCAGTATACCCCGGGACCTATCTCTCTGAATTTTAATGCCAATAACATAAGAGGCATCACCCATATCCTTCATATCAAAGTTCTTAAAAAGAAATTGTTTCACATCACGAAGCATCCCCTTATCATTGGTGGCAAGTAAGATGTCATCCACATATAAAACAAGAAAGCAAATTTTACTCCACTCGCCTTTTGGTATATACAGTTATCTGAGGGATTTTCAACAAAACCAAATGAAGAAATTACCCCATCGAACTTGATATACCATTGACGGGAGGCTTGTTTTAAACCATATATGGATTTCTTAAGCTTACATACTAAATGCTCACTACCCCTAGAAGAGAAACCTTCAGGTTGTTTCATATAAACCTCCTCTTCTAGATCACCATTTAGGAAAGCGGTTTTCACATCCATTTGTTGCAACTCAAAATTAAAATGTGCAACTAATGCCAGAATGACCCGAAGTGAATCTTTCTTTGATACAGGAGAAAATGTCTCCTTGTAATCGATTCTTTCTATTTGAGTGAATCCCTTGGCAACAAGCCGGGCCTTGTATCTCTCAATGTTGCCTAATGAGTTTCTTTTAGTCTTAAAAACCCATTTACAGCCAATGGCCTTGGCCCCATTAGGCAACTCAACAAGATCCCAAACTCCATTGTCCTTCATGGAATTCATTTCATCTTTCATGGCTTCTAACCATAAGTCAGACTGTGCACAATTTGTGGCTTGAGAGAATGTTTCAGGATCATTTTCAGCCCATATGTCAGATTCTTGTAGATACGAAACATAATAACTAGGAACTGCTGATCGCCTTATCCGAGTAGACCGTCTTAAGGTTGGACCCTCATCACCTTGTACAGGCTGCGGGCCAACTACCTCTTCAGGAACTGGTGGCAGTTCTTGAATTGGTTCAGTCTGCATCGGCTCAGAATCTTGCTGTATATCCTGAGTTGGTTCAACCATTGGTTCGAAATCTTGCTGTATATCCTGAGAAACCCAAATCCCAAAAAAAAAACTTACTGAACTATTTGGGAAAAAGCAATCAAGCCATCGAACTCAAATAACCCCCAAATAAGCCATTGAACTCGGGAAAAAAAGAGTAATTAACATTTTTAACAGGTTAACAACATGTTTTTTTCTGGCTGGATTACCAAATTTTTATTTTATTTACGTTTTTTTTATTATTATAATCCACCTACATTGTAATATATTTTAAAGTAATTATAATCAAAGTAGTTTTGTCTTGTCTAGATCTAATTTATTTATTTATTATTATTTTTTTACACAAAAGATCTAGTTAAAATAAATAAATAAATCCAATCTCAACAAAACAAAACTATTTTGATTTTAATTACTTTAAAATATAATACTATCCAAGTGGATAATATTAATAAAAATAATAATAATAAACGTAAATAAAATAAACATTTAGCAATCCAATTAGCAAAAACCTGGAGTTAACCTGTAAAAAATGTTAATTATTGCTCTTTTTTTCAGGGTTATCATTTTAATATTTAATATTATATATATATATATATATATATATATATATATATATATATATATATATATACTAGTCTTTTCTATGCGCGATGCGCAAAAACATATGCCCAATATTTATATTTTTAAAAATAACTAACAAATTTTTACTAATTAAAATCAATGTGAAATAAAATGTATTTATTATATTAATCTAATATATAATGAATATATAATGTTTTACAAATATTGTTATAATTAAAGAATATAAGAAAAGATATGGTAGATTCATGTGCATGGTAAGTAACGGAAAAGATAACGGAAGTTATAACGGTAAGGGTATTTTTGTCCAAAAAATTGTATAGTACAACTCTAAAAGCACAATGTACAAAATGATTAGCATTAAAAATATGGACATAAATGAGGGATATAACTTTGATTGAGACTTATTTTGTTTTTAGATATATATATATATATATATATATATATATATATATATATATAATATTAAATATTAAAATGATAACCCAATAAACATTCAATCTGTTAAGTTAAATCCACAAAAGGCCTCAAATTCTATTTACAATGCTTAGCCCAACCCATCTTATTATCTTGGCCTACGTATAAAAACTCATACCAAAATCCAACTTCCGACATCCAGTCATCCAAACCACTCTTCTCTCTCTCTCTTTTCTTTCTGGAAGCGACGCTTACATCTCCGACAAACACAATGAACAAAGCTTCGATTATCCGGGCATTTCCCTCCAAATCGCCGCCAAAATAAACATGAAGGAGCTCCTTTCATACTCGTCTTCCTAATAATCTAACCTTCGAAGGTTGTCGGAAAACTCAAATCGACGACCCATACACCGCAATGACGGAATTGGTGAGACGAATACGTACTACAAAGGTACCGTAATTTTCATTTTTCTTTTATGTAATCTTCAGTTTTCTGCGTGTAAATAGATTGGGTTTCATTTGTATATACACAACCTACAAAGTGGCCAAAAACCGAAGCCCAAACACCCGCCATATAAAAACCAAAACCACAAGATTCAATCTGACTCCCTTCTCCCATTTTTCCGTCGATCGCTCTGGTGCCCAAAACCCTATCTCCCTCTACAGAAATGGAAGCCAAGATCTCAATCTCAATCCATGCTCCGTAACACCAAAACTACTTAGAATATGCTTGAAATTCCCTGATTTCAACATCGCAAAGCCATCACAGAACATATCCATACCGTTCTAGCAGTAAACTGTTTGATTAACAGATATCATCTTCTATGGCTACGGATGATAGATTCTACACTATTAGGTAATTTACACTCTACCAAATATAATTACACTTTTACCTCATTAGCTAGAAACCCTAACTAACTTGTTTACATATCAGATCCAACTATAACTAAATATCAATAGAGGAATATAGCTGTAGAAAAATACAGAGAGAAAATCCAGGTGTGCATGCATAGAGATTTTGAAGACTACAAACCAATTTCAAAGGGATATGAACGATCCGATAAAGATAAGTACCCTATTAGCCCAAAATTATAGGAATCTAGCTAAAACACTAATGAGATTAATTGTGAAAATCATAGAATTAGAAAAAAAAAAAACATGCTTTAATATTTCCATACTATTTATCCTCCAAACATTTTTTTTTCTAAATATGATTGGCACATATTGAAAGAAAAGCACAAAATCATGGAAAAAGACCTGCATTATAAGAAGTTTAAAGCATGAACAACAGGTATTGAATGGTACCTCTATCTTCAACAGTTTATTTTCTTTTGCCTCCGACCCCTTCAACTTTCTCATTGTTCTTTACTCTGTTAAGTATTATCTTCAAAAAGTTCATCCTTTAGTATGAATATACATTGAACTTGTTCCTCAGTTAAATGACTTCGATCTATATATATAAGTCTCTAGATTACTTTATTCTAATTATCAATGCAATGATTACTACATGGCAATTTATTTTTTATTTTTTTGTTTGTTTTATGTTGTATCAAATTTTATAATGTATAAATACAATTTCTTTACTACAATGTAAATTTGTCAAAATAAATACATTGCATTGAATGCATAAAAAACTGAATTTGGTATTTAAGTGGTAGTCTACTGACTACTAACAAATAAGCAAAACATTTTTCATTGTTGCATGACTTACCTCTTCATCATGAAACAAACATTCTTGACTGTTAATAGTGATTTTCTTGTTCTGCTTTCAGTGGCCAAATAGGTTCGAACTAAGCAAATAGCCTTGGTGGTCTGGTGAGGGTGAATCAGCCAGTAGACTAAGAAAATAGCCTTGGTGGTCTGGTGAGTTTTTTCTCCTTTACGTGTGAAGTTAAACCATTTGAAAATATACATTTTTGGTTTATTTATAAAACTAAATCATGCTTCTATACATTAGCAAATAAGAATAATGACAGATTGGCATGCTAAAAAATATATTAGATCCATTTGAATGTTCAGTACTCTATTACTCTAAAAGTTAAAGTTAAAGTTTTACTATACATATTTATTTTATCAATAGTTGATATCTTAATTAAACTTAAAAACTCACTTGGATTTGAATTTTTCTACTATTATGATCATACTTTACTTTTGATGTTTTCAGGTCTCAATGGCATTGAGAAATAGGTTACTGGTATGCTGTTCAAACTCCTAAAAAAGGGTTTTCTTATAGTTGGCATTGAGAAGGAGGTTGCTTGGTATGCTGTTGAAACCCCTTGAAAAAGGGGTTCTAATAGTTTGCAAAAGAAACAAATGAGAAACACAAACATTTATCAAAATCTCACTCCATAATATTAAAAATGGAGGAAGTTCATACAGTAAAGCTTATACAATTAATTCAACTCTTCATTAGATAGAGAAGGGTTTAAAAATGATAGACAGGAAAATATCACCTTTGTTTCTTGAAGCTTCATGAGATAGAGCTGCTACAATGCGAATGTGGGTTGCACCATGTATGCAATATGTACTATTTATAGATAGTTTTCCACCAAAATTTAGTTTCAAAATTATGTACTTGTTGAACACCATGCTTTGCTTCTACTGTAAGTTTGGAAATTAATGTATCTGTCGTACCTCTCAATTACTATTTATTGGAAAATGGACAACAGCTGTAATAAGTCAATGCAGCAGCAATTAAATTTGTCAGACGAATTTAGAATTAAAAAAAAAAGGCAGAATAATTTGGGCGGGAAAATGGAGCTTTCCTATTGGCTGAAATTTAGTGACTTTTATATGTATATAGATATGCATATGATTGTATACATATATTAAAGTTTTGAATGGTATCGACGGATAAAGATGATTTTGATAGATTAAAGATTAACAGTGTTTGAATCACCCCGTCGTCGGCTAAGACGGCCGGTGACCGTCAGTAGCCGTTTATTCTCCAGCCTTACGACTGGAGAAAGAAAGCAGCGAAACTGCTGCTTCTCCAGCGCAAAGATGGAGAATTTTTTTTTTTTTTTTTTTTGGGCCGTGAAGGGCTCTAGCCAATTTGGCTAGAGCCCTAGCCCATTAATATTTATATATATATATATATATATATATATATATATATATATATATATATATATATATATATATACACACACTCATAATAATAATAATAATAATAATAATAATAATAATAATAATAATATAAATGTTGTTTTTAACTATGAGAATAAAAGATTTGTTGGATTCATGAATTATTATGGTTTGGTGATTCGTGGATTTGTATGGTTCTCAAATTATTATTGTTATTTAATTATTATTTTATTTTTATCTATTGTTGTGAGGAGCATATTAGTCACCAAAGTGGTCTGGCTAAGTGACAATTAGATTAAAATAAATTAAATCTTTCCTATTTAAATTGTATTTTAGTATATTAAGGATTCTGAGAGTCACCAAAGTGACCATGTTATATAATATTTGGACTAAATGAATGTTGTGTATGTCAATAAAATTCTATTTTCACTCACTAAGGATGTCTATTTTTTTTAGCTTGTTAGTCACCAAAGTGATCTGGCTAGATGGTGATAGATATTGATTAAAAATAGAATTTATTTTGCCCAAATCATTGAGATGCCTTAGATGACAATTACAGTAATTATAAATTATGTTGCTATGAGATTGCCCAAAGGTTAATCACTGCAAATAATTTATAATACTTAAAAGAATAAAATTTTAGTGCTTTGTCAAATAGCTTGGCTTATCCAAAGATGACTTGCTTATTTGACTAGTAATTGATTATATTATTATTATTATTATTATTATTATTATTATTATTATTATTATTATTATTATTATTATTATTATTATTATTATTATTGTTGTTGTTGTTGTTGTTGTTGTTGTTGTTGTTGTTTTATGTATTGTTGGCATCTATTCAAGTTATGAAAGTCTGAATTGTTTAAACGCTTAACATGAAAGCATTAAAGTGTAAATATGAAATTTCAGCTTTTGCTCAATTCTCGACTTCAATGAATGCTGTTGTAAGGTTCAATGGCCTCAATTATCAACACTGGTCTGAGCAAGTCCAATTCTACTTGGGCTTAACTGGACTAGACCTTTCTTTAAACACAAAGGAACTTGCGGCCCTCACGGACAAAAGCTCGCAAGAAGAGAAGGAATACCATGAAGGATAGATAAGGTCCAATAAAATGTGTTTAATCCTCATGAAAATTACCATGGTAGAAAATATGAGGCCGATGATGTCAAAAGTGGACATTGCATCTGAATTTCTGGGAACAGTGAAAGAGCTATCTATGTCTGAAATTGCAGATAAATCAATTGCAGGGAACCTGATGATAGAACTAACTTCTAAGAAGTTTGATTGGTCTATGCCAATTCATGATCACTACGACCAAATGGCCAATATTGCAGCAAAATTAAAGGGGATAGAGATAGAGTTGTCTGAATCATGGCTCACTTCCACCAGCAGAGTTTGGACAGTTCCATGTGAACTACAATACTCTTAAAGAAAAATGGAGTTTTAAAGGTGAAATATAACAAACGCAGCACACAGTGATGTTGAAACTAACGTTGTAACACAAATAATTTGTAACGCAGTTCGGGCAAACAACCCAAATCTGCGAGGAACTTCTCAACTTGAGAATTTGCCTAAATCCACTAAAAGCTCAGTATTCAAAGTACACTGTTTGGAAACCGAAATTACACAATAGAAAGATATTACCTATCACACTACTGTATCCTAAACATATGTACTACTTCCTAGGGGATTTGAGTATCTCTTCTCAATGACTCTCGAACCTCACAAGTTAGATATTGAAAGCTTGTTTGTGAGAAGAAAAGCTGTTGCTATTTATAACACACTTCCTTTGTTTCTTCTGAGAATAGGACTTGATATTCCTAGTCTGTTTGGGATTAGAATCCATGCATGTCTTCTTCTTCTTCTTAGATTAGGATTGATATTCCCTTTTTGCACAAAAATTTCGACAATGACTCTTTGAGTCAACACTCTCCCCCTTTGTCAAATTTTTGCAAAAATCAAGATCTCATGAAAATATGATGTCTGATTCTTCTCCCTCTAAAATTGATTCCTGGAATCTTTTAAAACTTGAAATTAATTTGTATTTGAATGTGTAAGTGAAGAGAATTCCTCATTGTCCCTAATCTTGATAGACTGAACATTTGTAGCAGTTTTGGCAAAGAAGATCCATAGACATAAAAGCATAGATACATAGGACTGAACATAGACAAGCCAAAATGATTATGCATCTACATGGCTCGTAAGATATACACAGCCCTTCAAAGATATAATATCAGCAAGATCAGCATAGTTCACAAAAAACAGCAAGAACAAAAAAGACCAGTAAGATCAGCATAGTAGACAGTATCAGTCAGTCATCCTATTAGACCACATCATATCTCCCCTTTTTTTGCTAAAATCAGCAAGATCAGCATAGTTCTCAAAAACAGCAAGATCAAATAAAAGGATCAGCAAGATCAGCATTAGACCACATCATATCTCCCCCCCCCCCCCCCCCCCCCCTTTTTTCTTTTTTTTTTTTTTTTTTTTTTTGCTAAAATGATGTTGAAACAGAGGTTTCAACACCCTCTTCTTCTTGATTTTCCTCATGGCCATCTTCTTGACTTTTTTTCTACATCTTCACGTTTTAGAGCCTTGAGCCATTGTACAACTTCTACCTTTTCTTCTTTGATCTCCATTATGCATTCTTTGAACCTGTTTCTCTGAGTATTCTAGTTCAACCAACCTCTTTTCAAAGTAAATAATCAGTGTCTGTTAATCTGTTGGATTTTCTTTTGGACCCGTGGATCTAAGATCATTTTGATGTCCCCCCTCTTCAATTTGATAGTGGTGTTGATGGTCTTGACTTGATTCTTTGGACCTTGTTTTGTTAGTATTGAGAATATCAGGTTTGGAAAAATGAGTGAGCTGAGGTCCCCATATATCTGTTGAGCTCTAGTGCAACTTGTTCACTTGTTATTTGGATATTCTGGTCTTCATTAGAGGACCCCATATATCTGTTGATAATATTTGGACTAAAATCATAGAATTTTCCCCTTACATATACTTTTCCATACATTGGACTGCTTGGGATGGTAGTATCTTTGGTAAGATTACAATAGAATTCTTGAATGATCTGTTCTTCATAGGGCTCAATATTTGTGAATGTTCCTAGAAGTTGACTCTTGGTTAAGGATTCTGTGATTTGTTCATGGCTATCTAGTTTGTCCAAATTAAAACTAATAGTTTTTGACATATGATTTTTCTTCCTCCAATTTTGCCTTTTATTTTAATTGATTTTTTTCTTAGAAACTTGGAGTTGTATGGTGTTGGAAAACTTGCCAGCTCAGCGTTGTCAACTAATTTTTCTTTTCTCTTGTCTTTGGCAGTGTTTTCTGGCTTTAGTATTCTCATTTGGTTTCTCTTTGACAGGTGTCTTTCCTTTTTTTCTTTTCTTGAACACGGGCACGTGTTCTTAGTCGTTTATTGCCAGAATCCTCACTCAAACTTTCTGGAACCCAAGGGCCCGTTTACTAACAGAAAATTATTTTATGTTTTCTATTCTCTATTTTCAATTTTCTGTTTTCATTTTTCAATTCTCTGTTTTCAATTCCCTGTTTTCGAAAATTAAAATTTAAAACTTGTTTTATTATTCTCTAGTGCCAATTAATACATCATTTCTAAAATATGAATCACATACACATTGACATTGCTAAGTGCCAAAGTTTAAATTAATACATATTTTCCAAAATCCTAATCACAATTCGCATGCACACTGCCAAGTGCCAATGTCACAATTCGCATGCACATTGCCAAGTGTCAAAGTCACAATTAATACATAATTTTCAAATCCAAATTAAAAACACAAAAATAGTAATTAAAAAATTTATTGGGCTCAGTATGTTACTGGCTAAGTGGTTGATTGGAGTCTAAAGCAGTGGAGTGGCTTGGCCGACGGGGCAGGGAGGAGTCACCGGCGTCCAGCAGAAGTTGAGGAAACGTGAGATTGTGACACTGTGAGAGGACTGAGGTCTGAGGAAGAGAGGAGCGAATTTGCGAAGGCGGCGTTGCCGACAGAGGATGGACTACGGAGGGCCGAGGGAGTGACCGCAGACCAGCTGACTGGAGTGTCGCCCTCGCTGAAGGTGGAACTGTGGTCTGTGGAAGCCAGAAGGCGTGAGACATAGACGAGTGTGGGGGTGTGGATTGTGGAGTACTGGAGTGGAAGTCGTGGAGATTCTGGAGAAGACCAGAAGCAAAGTCGCGGAAAGCCGGGGAAGGTGAAGGATGGAAGGCAATTAGGGATTTAGGAATCAAGAATTAGAATTTTAAGGCTGGCGGATTCGATGGGTGGATCTACTATTCACGCGTGTTATTCTCATATTTGAAAACAACTTTTGATTGTGTTCCAAATTTCTTGCAAAAGGAAGAATAATTCTCAACTTTGGAAATGGAAAAAAAGCATAGTAAACACTTAGCCTATTTTCAATTTTCAATTTCCGAAAATTCTTGGAAATTTCCTGTTAGTAAACGCCCCCCAAATCTTTTCTTCCTCTATTTCTTTTCTTTTTCGGTTAGTTTTTCTTGGAGAGGGT